TGATTGATAGCCGTGGTTGCGCATGGAAATACAAAATCATGTATATACGTGATTTTGTGCACCTGTGCCGCCCTGTAGCAGTATTTCTGCTATAGGGCGGTTGGGAAGCAGTTAACCTCTCTGGAAAGCAGCCGGCCATCCCCAGAGCCAAGCCCCATGTCTTCCTTCCTTGTGTGGGAAGTTTACACCCTCCAGCAGCCTGCTCGGATTCCATGGGGAGCCTCACCAGGTCGCCTTCCCTGCCACATGTGTCCCTTATTCCGGGGGGGGGGGGGTGGCGCTGCCCCCTTGAAAACTGCCACCCTAGGCAAATGCCTTTTTTGTCTTGCAGTAAATACATCGCTGCCTGTAGTATAAGTCTAAGCTGGGGTCAGTTTAGCATACTGTATTAGCCCTGCATTATTCTACCCCCCCAAAACTCCTAATTTCAACATTGTCAGTGAAGGAAAAGGTGGTCTTAGTAGTTAAAAAAAGGATAAAAACTATAAATAGAAATGGACTTTACAGTAGGCATCTCTCATGAAAACCAAAAATTAGAGCTTGAGCTCTTTGGGACCAAGGAGTTAAAAAGTACCATTAGATATGTGCAGTTTGTTTCGTTCCGAATCACATTTCGGGCAATTTTTTTGTTATTTGGAGATTCAGATGTATCAGAATTCCGAATGACAAAAACCAAGAATTTAAACGAATCAGAAATAATTAATCGAAATTCGATTTGAAAACAAATTTGAATTAGAAAAAAAATCAAAAACAAATTTGAATTCGAAAACAGAATCGAAAACAAATTTGAAAACAAATTTAAAGCTCCACCCAGAAGGGGAAGTTACGCTTTAAGGACTGATCCCCCCAATCCCCATTAAGAATTGGTACTTTTGGGGAGTGGGGGTAGGGGGTGGCAGGTACCTGAAATTGACAGGTACCCTCTTCCACTTCCTCTGCGATCACCTAGGTAATCAAAAGCGGAAGTTGTCCTCCTACCCTCCCTCCCTGTAGTCTTCTGGGACAAGTGACAAGTCCCAGGAGACTACGGGACCATTCAGGAAGTGCATCACTACTCATGCATGTGCAATGAGCAGTAAAGCCTCAAGCTGTCCCAGTCGGGTGCCCACACTGAAGATGCTGGCGCCAGGAATACAGGGCGGCCAGTGAAACGGGCTGTGGGAAGGAAACCGCGGGACTGAGGGACAGGTATTTGTCCGTTTTTTTAAAAGTCAGCAGCTGCAGTTTTTGTAGCTGCTGACTTTTATTTTTTTTTTATTTAATTTTCACTGAAATTCCGCTTTAAACTAGAATTTGAAAACAAGAATACAATTAGAAAATCAAATTAATATTCTTGAAACTAATATTCTCGACCGAAAATCTACACGTGTATGGCCAGCCTTAAGCCCTGTATACACAATGAGAATATCAGACGAACGATCATCCGTTTTTTTTTCTCTCATAGAAAGTGAAAAGGTTACTAAAGATACGAAAATTTCTCATACGAAAAAAAAGAATTTAGAAAGTGATGTCATGTATTGGCATTGTGTTCTCGGACGAATAAATGTAAATCATACGATCTGGTATTTTTTTGCTCTTGTCCCTTCGGATATTGTAGCACGTATTGTCATGATTAGCTCTCAAAAGCTGTGTACTAACGATCCGATTATTGGGCGATCGGTCCTTCTATGAAAATTTTCGCACAATTTTTTTATTGTGTATACCTGGCATTAAACTGGCCATACACATGTAGATTTTCGGACGAGAGTATTCGTAAAATAATGTCGTACGGAAATTCTTTGCACATCCGATGAATGGACGAATGTCGTTAGAAAATTGCCTTTTGCTTTTAACATTCAATTTTAAACTGAATGTAATTTCTGAACGAACGAGAACCACATACACTTGCCAAAAATTATTTTGATCGAGAAAAGTTTTCCTTTCTGCAACTTCAAATTTTTCCGTCACTGCAGTCAAAAACAAACATCAATTTGACCCCACTAACAGTTAGAAAATCAAACGAATATTCTTGAAATAAATATTCTCAGATGAAAATCTACACGTGTATGGCCAGCTTTACTTTTCGAATTCAGTCAAATGTTTTCGAATTCAGTTGAAATCTATTCAATTTTCGAATGACTTTTCGAAGTTTGTTGAATCAATTTCGAATTCAGTTGAACCAATTTCGAATGTGAACGACTTTTTTCGAATTTGATCGAAATGTTTTTGAATTGAATTTAACCTGAGAAGCCCCCCCCATTCCCACAAAAAAAACACAGTCTACTATGCTTCAATTATGAATGAACATAGTGATTGATTGGTACCAATCACTCATTGTGTTAATTCAGGAAAGGAAGCGGCTGGTAAGTGTGACATATTTACCAGACCCTTCTCCCACTTCGAATTTGGTCGACATATTTACCAGACCCTTCCCCCACTTTGAATTTGGTCGAAATATTTTTGAATTGAATTCAAATAAGAATTACCAAAACGAATCCCAAAAAAGAATTTACCGAATCCAACTACACGAAATGTGTTAGATTTCAAATCGAAACGAAACAAAACACATTCTTTTGTTTTGCACATGTCTGTGTACCATATGGCACCCAATATACTTTGCAAACCACAAATAGCTGTCTTGTTAACAAAACCAAATCAGAGTGTCAGCCATTGGGTATATATTTTCAAGTAGCCCGTGGTGCCACATTTAGACAGTAGCACCGACAAGCCTAAAAGGTCAGGCAAAAGGCCTTTGGTGGGTTCTTCCCCAAATATTACCCAGGCTTCAGAGCAGAAGCCCCTTGTGGGGGTGTTCCTAAAATATTATTCAGGTCTCAGAGGAGAGGCAGAAGGCCCATGAAAGTTTCTTCCTAAAAAAAAGTAGCATTGGCTCAGAGAAGAGGCAGAAGGCCCATGGAATTGTATTCCAAAAAAGTAGCCTGGGCTCAGAGAAGATGCAGAAGGCCCATGGAATTGTATTCCACAAAGTAGCCTGGGCTCAGAGAAGAGGCAGAAGGCCCATGGAATTGTATTCCAAAAAAGTAGCCTGGGCTCAGAGAAGAGGCAGAAGGCCCATGGAATTGTATTCCAAAAAAAGTAGCTTGGGCTCAGGGCAGAGGCAGGAGGCCCATGGAATTGTATTCCAAAAAAAGTAGCCTGGGCTCAGGGCAGAGGCAGGAGGCCCATGGAATTGTATTCCACAAAGTAGCCTGGGCTCAGAGAAGAGGCAGAAGGCCCATGGAATTGTATTCCACAAAGTAGCCTGGGCTCAGAGCAGAGGCAGAAGGCCCATGGAATTGTATTCCAAAAAAAGTAGCCTGCACTCAGGGCAGAGGCTGAAGGCCCATGGAATTGTATTCCAAAAAAGTAGCCTGGGCTCAGGGCAGAGGTAGAAGGCCCATGGAATTGTATTCCAAAAAAGTAGCCTGGGCTCAGAGCAGAGGCTGAAGGCCCTTGGGGTGTTCTACCCTTACAAAAGTAGCCAGAGGCAGAAAGTGCTTAAAGAGCTCTTCAAAAAAAGGGCTTTAGCTCTTTGGTTTGATTTTTTAAAGGGAATTTGGGAGAGGAGGAGGATGGGGCTGTGGATGCAGGGCTGTTGTTAGTAACCATGCGGTTCCATACAGCCAACCTGACAGGGCCCTTCAAAACCACAGGGGCAGTAAACAACCAACCTGACAAGCCCCCCCCCCCCCCCATTCCCTCAAAAAACACAGTCTACTATGCTTCAATTATGAATGAACACAGTAATTGATTGGTACCAATAACTCATTGTGTCAATTCAGGAAAGGAAGGGGCTGGTAAATGTGACATATTTACCAGACCCTTCCCCCACTCTCCATCCTGAAGGATCCTATTGTATGCAACCGATGGGAATGAGAGGAGGGAACATTACAGCGGTGGGGGCAGCAGGGGGAAATGTATGGTGTACAGGGAGGGTGATGGGTGCACCATGGTGGGGAAAACACTGTAACTGTTTCCCTGTATGGCCCTCTCTGCAGCAGGTGAAAGATGGCTTCTTCTCTCACCCTCCTGGCTTTCAATTGCTGCAGAGAGAGCCATACAGAGGATCGGCTCCAGTAATTGCCCCTCGCCGTGCCGATCACCCTCCCTGCCCACATTCCTATTCACCCAGTTGCCTGGGCTCCTCTGCTAGCTTGGGCCCTGTACAGGAGGACTGGTGGTACCCCCTTATCCACAGCCCTGGGTGGATGAGAAAGAGGCTCTGCCAGGACTTGGTCGGCTCTACGTTTGATGGCCAACCTAGTGCCATTAATTCACTCATCAGAATCATAAAGTGTTACTCCTGCACTATCTGCAATGTGTGTACAGAAATCTGTTATAGGCCATGAATCAATGTGGTGACAGCTGCTGCTTGCATCAAAATTGTGTTCCTACAATAAAAACAGAAAAAATTAAATGGTATAATGCTGCACTGCTGTGTGTCTGGTAATATACTCAACTAAATAACATATATTGTGGTGACAACACCTTACATCAAATATGAAATAATTCCCATGTTACCATTCCTATAGTGCACAAACTGACATATAACAAAATAAAGTGTTTCAGTGCATAAACCAACACATGTTTTCACAGCATTTAAAGTGACAATAAATCTTCATTTTTTAAAAACAACAAACATGTCTATACTCCCCCGCTCTGTGCAGTGATTTTGCACAGAGAAGCCCCGTTCCTCTTCTTTTCAGGCCCCTACCGGAGCTCCTGGCTTCTCCTCCTCAAGCAGTGCCCTCCAGGGAAAGCTGCTCGCCCTTGGGGCATCGCTGCATGCTCGTCCCCAAACCACTGCTCTATGCGTCCATAAGGCAATGGGCTCCAGTAGGCTCCTGCTGCAGCCTCAGCCAATGAGAATGAAGATCCCACAGACAGGACAGACTGTCGAGAAAGTCCCTGGATCAGAGGGGGCTCAGGTAAGGATTGTGGGAGGCTGGGGCTGCACAGAATATATGAATGTAGAAAACGTTCAGCCTTTATAACAACTTTAAAGTGTTACTAAACCCCAGACCCTGCATTCACTATATCTGGTCTCCCCGGACCCTGCATTTACTATATCTGGTCTCCCAGGACCCTGTATTCACTATATCTGGTCTCCCAGGACCCTGCATTCATTATATCTGGTCTCCCCGGACCCTGCATTCACTATATCCAGTCTCCCCGGACCCTGCATTCACTATATCTGGTCTCCCCGGACCCTGCATTTACTATATCTGGTCTCCCAGGACCCTGTATTCACTATATCTGGTCTCCCAGGACCCTGCATTCATTATATCTGGTCTCCCCGGACCCTGCATTCACTATATCCAGTCTCCCCGGACCCTGCATTCACTATATCTGGTCTCCCCGGACCCTGCATTTACTATATCTGGTCTCCCAGGACCCTGCATTCACTATATCTGGTCTCCCCGGACCCTGCATTCACTATATCTGGTCTCCCCGGACCCTTCATTCACTATATCTGGTCTCTGCCGGACCCCGCATTCACTATATTTGGTCTCCCTGGACCCTGCATTCACTATATCTGGTCTCCCCGGACCCCGCATTCACTATATCTGGTCTCCCCGGACCCCGCATTCACTATATCTGGTCTCCCCGGACCCTGTATTCATTATATCTGGTCTCCCCGGACCCTGCATTCACTATATTTGGTCTCCCTGGACCCTGCATTCACTATATCTGGTCTCCCTGGACCCTGTATTCACTATATCTGGTCTCCCACAGTACACAGAACATGGAAATGCAATTATTTTTGTAAATAAAAAGTGCTTAATACCTTTTCTCATCAGCAGTTAGAGCAGTCTTGTGACTTCAGCTGAGCACTGGTTAAAGCTTGTTGGAGTTTTCTTTCTGCTCTAGGAGGAAGTAAAACCCTTGACCTCTTGATTGGCCCTGTGCTGATCAAATGCACTCTCCCAAGAAAAAAAAAACACATTAAATTGAGAATGTGCAGAAGGGCTAGTTCAGTCTGTTTTATCAGTGTGGACATTTGAACAAGAGGAGGGGCAGAGAAGTCAGGATCAATCAGCCTTTTTACACAATGCAGAGGATTAACCCCTTAGGTTCCACAGTGAGTATAACAAGCATGCTTTACTGCATATACAGACTGATTTTACTTTGTGGGCTTAGTAACACTTTAAGTATTGGTTTATGCACTGAAACACTTTATTATTTTGTTTTATGTCAGTTTGTGCACTGTAGGCATGGTAACATTATTATTTATCATCATAAATATAATATTTAACATTATAATTATTTAATATTTGGTGTAGGGTATTGCTAACCCACTAATTGGTATTTATTAGACATGTGAATATACCACACCCTCCTATAACAAATGATCAGTAACAACAATGTACCCTTGGCCACCACAATAATACTTCCACCCAGGAAGTCCAAAATCAAAATGTGTTCAATAGCATCCAACAAAAAAAATCCCAAAAAGTCTCAATAAATTCCCATATAAACTGGTGATAACTTCATACTTCCCAACAACTTCCAATCATTCTCCGAGAAGATTCTTCCTCTTCCTCTATTTATACCTCAAGAAATTAAGCTACACATAGTGCATTATCCTCAAAACATAACACACTAAATACTGGTAGTGTGCTCACATCAAAGTGTTCAAAAACATGCCCCAAATAACCATGTGTCCATCCAGTGACCGCAATTCCTACTCTTACCCTCAGTAGGTGAATAACTCGCTTTGTATAAATTGTTGATTATTGAGATACTTCTTCCAAAAATCTTCCCAATAAACAAGACCATCCGATAGATATAAATCATATATAGTGTCATACTGTCAACACATGAACATCATATAATGTGAATCAGTGTTAAAACACCACACCAGTGATCACAAAACAGAGACAGCCGAGTGATCCAACACCTGTCAGTCCATGCACCTTACCATATTGACAAGTAATGGAGGCTTTGATCAAACAGACTCTTTCTCCAAAACTGTGATTTTCAGTACTCCAATGACAACGATGGCATATACCCAGAAGAAGAACATACAATTATCACGTACCAACTTTTTAAAAAACGTCTTACTTTATTTAAAAAGCTCTTACATTTGCAGAGTAATCCACAGCATTTGTATCTCTCCTTAAGCCTACTTTCCTTCTAGTGTGTATTACCAGTCCGGACCTCACCCAAAATGGCCACCGCTATACTTCAGACAGAGTCTACCGTCACTCCCTAACGCGTTTCGTCATCACAACTTTTTCAAACGTGATGACGAAATGCGTCACTCTAGCAGGCTATGGTCTTCTCTGTGTCCTGTATGGCTCCCCAGGCTGCCTCCTCATACTACAGCTCATCCAAAATGACAGCAATAGGATACAGAGACTCAACCCGTCAGTCACAGTCTTCTTAGAAAAATCGGCTCCCCAGGCCGCCTCCTCATACTACAGCTCATCCAAAATGATGGCAATTGGATACAGAGACTCAACCCGTCAGTCACAGTCTTCTTAAAAAATCGGCTCCCCAGGCCACCTCCTCATACTACAGCTCATCCAAAATGATGGCAATTGGATACAGAGACTCAGCCCCGTCAGTCACAGCCTTCTTACAAAAATTGGCTCCCCAGGCCGCCTCCTCATACTACTAGCTCATCCAAAATGATTGCAATTGGATACAGAGACTCAGCCTTGTCAGTCACAGCCTTCTTCCAAAAATCCAAAGATGGCTGTGACTGATGGGGCTGAGTCTCTGTATCCTATTGCCGTCATTTTCGATGAGCTGCAGTATGAGGAGGAGGCCGGGGGAGAGGTACAGGACACAGAGAAGACCATAGCCTGCCAATGTGAAGATGGCCCAATATCAAAGGCTCTCCAGATGCCAGTGGTTGTTGGAGATTGTCAAGCAAGCATTTCTGCTCTGATCTGGTTCATTCCAGGGAACACACTTCACCAATAAGAGCTAATTTGATTCTTAAGCCATACAAGCCATGAGTCCATCATGTCTGGTAAGTGTGGATTGTACCGGAAGGTGATCACGGATGGTGTACAGATATTGTTTAACCAGTTCCCGTCTGGCCCATGTACATAAAGTGCAGGGGCGGGTGGCTGTTTATAAATGTCCGTTTATAAACGTCCTCTCCGTGATCCGGGTCCCGAACACCGATCATTGTACGGGACCTCTGTGTGAGGTCCCAATCATGTGATCACTGATTGGTCAAGCCAATCATTGCTTACTACGTGTGAAATCTGTGAATGATCACAGAGGTCACATGGTACAAGGGTATTCACAACAGCCTTGTACCATGTGACAAGCTGTGACCAATCACAGCTCTCACAGTATTTCTCAATGGCTGCAAGAACGCAGCCAGAGAGAAGGAGAAATGATTGCTTTTACAGCCTTCATGGGTGTAAAAGCAATCAGTGTAAAAAAAAAAAAAAAAATCTTCATCACCCCCCACAAGTAGTACAGTGTCACTATGGTGACACTGTACTGTTAGGTTGATAGTATGTTAAAAAACAAAACAAAAATAATAATAATAATAATATTAAAAAATGAAATAAAAATGTAAAACTTTTTTTTAAATTATAATTTTTGGTTATAAACTAATTTGGGTTATTTAATTTTTTTTTTTTTTTACTAAAAAGAGAATTGAATACATTTTGCCCAAGATTTATGAAGAAATAATATTTATTTGCAAAATTTTATAAGAAAAAAAAACACTTTTTTTCAAAATTTTTGGACTTTTTCATTTATATAGCAAAAAAAAATAAAAACCCCAGTGGTGAATAAATACCGCCAAAATAAAGTTTTATCTGTCTCAAAAAATGCTAAAAAATTCATATGGATACAGTGTTGCATGACCGCGCAATTGTCATTCAAAGTGTGATAGCGCTGAAAGCTGAAAATTGGCCTGGACAGGAAGGGGGTGAAAGTGTCCGGACTGGAAGTGGTTAAGGAACACATTTGGTTTTTTGGCACCATTCTTTGACTTGAACACTGTATCACTGTTTATCTGGGACAGTGGACTTTTGAATATATTTTTTTATTATCCCATCACTGTTGATATAATCACTATTGTTTGTTTAGTTTTTGACCTGTAATATTATTTTTATGTTTGGAGGTTTTTTTTACCTTATGAACAGCAGCATTAATTATTTGGATCACATATCATTTTAAAGGGTTTTTTTAGTCGCAAGTTAATTTCACATACAACTGTTGGAATCCACAAAGCGGGCAGAGTCATCTGAGATTCAAGTCTGGTTCATTTTGATAAAAGTCAGGCATCAGGCCAGTGGCCTGTGTCCCCCAAAACAGAATTTGTGCTCAACGCCTTGTCTAATATGCTCCGATTTCACATGTACTACAATAAACTCCACAGCACAAAGCAATGAGCAGTAAGAGTGGTTTACAACATTGCTATACAGTCCTAGTCCTGGACTGATTACTGTAGAATATGCACCATACAGCAAAGGAAATCACTGATTGTCCCTCCAAAAACATCCTACTTAACAATCTCTTCAGCACAGCTCTGATCTAACTACCTAGACCACCACAACTGGTGAACGCCTGGTGGCTGAAAAATGAATGGTTCTTGTAGGCCCTCCCATATATCTAGTGGACACCTGCAGGGGCGGACTGACAACTCATGGGGCCCCCGGGCAATAGGGGATCATGGGGCCCCTGTGTCCTTGCCCAAACTCAAAAAAGCCTATGAAAAAGATACCAGGGGCATCTCATGGGGCCCTCTACTGACCCTGGGCCCTCGGGCAGTGCCCGAGTTTCCAAATGGTCAGTCGCCCCTGGACACCTGTCACCACCGACATAGTGTTCGAAGTCCAGGTAAAGAGATATGTTTCCCCCTGTATAGGATTCCATGATCAAACTCATCCCCATTCTCTGATTGGCTGCTGTGAAGACGTAGGGTATTAAAGTGCTATTAAACTCAAAACCAAAAATGTAATATGCTTACCAATCTTTATATGTGGTGGCTGCATTTGTTTTCTTTTTTTTAGGGTTTTTTTCCCCTCTGTTTTCCGTTAGTGATTTGGCCACTAACACACCTCCTGTATTAGAGTGCCCCCACTCTGGATGAAGGAGCAGAGGGGGCACCTTTGGACAGCAGCATTGTCAGTCTGGGGGGAGAGGAGTGTTACTCTAGCAGATTTAAAACACTAACGCATGGAAGCCAAACTCCAGCTAATACTGTATAAGCAGTTACAGCAAACTTTTTTTTTCCTTTGGGATAATGATTACAATCAATAATATTAGTAATCGCTATAAAGAAATAAATACAAGTTTCTCATTGTAAGCAACCCTATCAGTGTTAAATGGTTTGTCTCAACCCCCTAACTGCTACATCTGCTGGTGAAAACACGCAGATGTGAATGTGTCCCATAGGAAATCATATTAAATGGACTGTACTGCGTTTCTGCAAAACGCTGAAGAAAACGCTTAGGTATGAACCTAGGGTTTGTCAGTCTGGGGGGTGGGGAGTGTTAGATGAGCTAGCAGATTTAAATACACTAACACATTGAAGCCAAACTCCAGCTGATACTTTATAAGCAGTTACAGCAAACAGTTTTGATTCTTTTCG